CCCTGTTGCTAGGGTTCTAATACGATCCAGCATCTTTGTGTGGAATCTTGCGTGTGACTCAAGAATATGTACAATGGATCTCTGCTGTCTCCAAAACAAGGATGGAGAGGAGATAAGTCGATACAACTCTTTGAAATATATTGGAAGATCGTTATGCATTGACCTTGGCATAAGCGTTGAAAATCGAGGGGCAGATTTGGAAGAGAGGGATGATGAGAGAGGAGAGAGATTTTGTGGGCGGGTGTAGAGTAGTTTTGGAGCAAAACTCGGCGGGGATGGTAACCGCGAAATTGGGGATTCAGCGTGGAAATAACGATTTCTCTTTGTTGTCGATCGTTATAGCACTGTGGGTGCCGATTCTGGGGTCTTCGTGGTGACTCGTCGACTCTTTTCTGTGGGTAAATCGTTATTTTATGCAGATTATGGTGAACGGATTCACGGTATTCATGAAAATTTCCGTTTTCCCTTATTTTACGAAGCAAGAAACAAGTTCAGTTCTGAAAAATTTATGTTGATTGACTTTTTGTTTGATGCAAGGCTTTTCAAGGAATTGACTCATATGTAGCATAATGATGAGTAAATGACGAGTAGTCGAGAGGTGCGTGCTTCAAAGCCACTGTCTGGGATTGATTGATTGGGGTTTAAATTCTTCATGGATTTCACAAATTCAGTTGAGTTGAAACATTAATCATGAATCGTTGAAATTCTCGTATGATTTACTTTATATATCAACCGCTGACATTAGATTTTGTTAATGACTGCAATTGTATATTTCGATAGGAGTGCAGTAAAGTATTTTTGACCCTTGGGAGGGCAGCCCTCAACTTCGCTGAGCGTTACACGCACCTCCTACAAGTTAAAAACCCATTTTCCGCATCACAGTGCGTGGAAAGTGGGGTTTTGCTCACGCAAAAGGTACGAAAACGGATAAACAGTGCTTATTTTGCCATCGTCGGACACTGATTTAAAGAGTCCGGGGGTCTCATGATGACTTCTCGCTTTGTTTTAGGGTTGGATTGTCATTGTTGGCAGATTATCTTACATATTAATATATCATTTTATTTTATTTTAGAACAAGTTATGCATTTGAATATTTATCCGTTATAACCATCCGAACGAGTCACCTAACCGCTCAGTGTATTGACAGCTTATATAGAATATGTCACAGCTATTCTCCTTCTCAAATTCTTCTTTCATGATCCGAAGATATCTGCTAAAATAGATTTTCATAAGAGGATTCACTAATTATGTTGTACTTGCGTGATTTTTTTTGGCCACAAACTATTGCATTCGTGAGCTGTCAGGCACTGAGTGGTATTGGCCTCAAACCGAGCGATATTAGCCACACTTACGGAGCGGTATTGGCACCATCGCCCGAATTAGAGAAAACACTCTCTAATTATTAATTAAAAGATGAAATAAGTAGATTTCGGTGTGAAATGATGTGACAAAGAATTGCAAAATGATTGATCATAATGTTATGTGATGATAGAGCTATATTATGATAGTGAAAAACCTTACCTATTGGTGTAGAAAAATTACATCGTAAGGTCTTCAAAATCCTGGGGTGCTATTTTTGTCATTCAAAGTGGTGAAAAAATGAAAATTTTCAGTAGTAATACCACTAGTGCTTCCTCAAACTTCCCTGCCTAGGAACAAATTGTTCCTAGACAACGAAGTTATCGGAAAATATCCGATCAATTTTGAAGCACTAGTGGTATTTGACGGATTATTTTTCCACTCGGATTTCGGCCAAGCAGAGTGCAGTCAACAGCATCCGGATACATTTACACAGCCATACATTCACAACCCACTTTTTTGTTTATCTGTCACACAGAATATTAAACATGAAATGCGTTGAAAGATGAGAAACATTTGAAAAGCTACTAGTGAATTTCCGTCGGAAATTTTTTTAGAAATTTTCGAAATAAAACTGTTTGACAGTCTCAAATACTGCGCTCTGATTGGATGAAATCCGAGTGAGAAAAATAATCATGAGAATTACATACTGATAGTAGAGCTCTGAGATTGAGTAAGAGACAGTGTGGGAAAAGTAAGGAAGTGGTTGTCGAGAAAATCAAGTGAGCAATATTTGCTGCTGAGCGGTACAGGCATCGCCTCCCTTAATGCTGTCGGAGACAGTACAATATTTTTCCAATTATTGTCTCATCTCATATCGGACTACCAATTGTAATTGTATCGGTCGCAGCAATCGATGATTATTGACATAACAAATTAATTCCTTCAATTAAAAAAATATTCAACAGGTCCGTGAAAAGCTCAGTCAAAATCTCAGGTGTCACTGTGATTATTTTGCCATCACCTGACACTGATCGCTCGCGTGTCTGCCCCAAGTGTCCCCATGGACATTGAATTCACCCATTGCATAGGGGTCAGGTCTTGAGAATAGTCGGGGGGTCCATCGCCCAAACACCTCGAAATAAAGTAAACGGGGCCCAGCTGTCTCAAGCCAGCCATTCCACCCCAGAACAGGGAAAAACTAGCTGTCCCTCTGAATGCGTGGGTGATGGATAGTCTCGCGCGTTACCGTGTCACTCGTGCAAATGTTAAATGGAACACCAATACCCCGATATTGCGTGATTCTCTATTACAAAACAGAGAGACCGTGGGGGTGGATTCATGAAGAATAGCTCTGATCAGTTTCACAGAGTATCGTCCAATTCTATTTCTTCAATTGATCCCAAACAATAGAATAAAATCAGCTAAAAGGGACTAGCATAAAATTTCCGTTATCGATCAATACCGAAAAGGTGAACGAAATCCTTTGAAAAACTGTTACAAACCACTTTATCCGAAAAAAAATCGTATGATGGAAAGGCTTTGAGCCCCAAAATTGCCAATGTCGCTGTCGTAAATTCCAACGTTAACGGAAGAAATTTTTTTTTCTACCGTCATTCATCCACAGGTAGACCTGTGAGAGACTGCTGATCTTTCCCGAGAAAAAAAATGGGGAAAAAGAATGAAATGACGGTTAAACACCTTATCGGTGGTACTTTGGGGAGGTACGTTTGGAGCCACCTGGGACAACCTAACCAAACTCACAGAGAAAGAGAAGACATGAAGTGCACCTACATCGAGACACCTCTTTACACCTCCATGAACAATCGTTCACATTTCTTTCTGTATGAAAAAAAAGGGTATACCCGGAATAATGGAAAAAAACGTTACTTCAATGTGAGAATTAAAAAACACCAGAAATCACCCCAAAATAGTCTCCCCTTTGGGTCCCACTTTCTCACGGATAAAAAAAGTCTGATTTTCCCAAAAAAGTGTATCCCCTCCTGAAAGGTGGATGATGCAAATTTTCGGTGTGGAAGGGGCCGTTAGAGGGGTGAACCTTTTCAGTAACTGAATTTTATTGCAATTCCACCAATCCACATAACCTCGCGGCTCTCAATCTTCCAAGAATGCATCGCTACCTGCTCCACTAGCCGTTTTTTTACTTTTTTCGGAGGGGGGAGGGCAATCCACAGGGCAGGTAAGAAGGAAGAAAGATGGAAAATCAGAGTGGATAAAAACGGACGTTGGTCCTGGTTTATTGAAAAATAGCGTCTTCGGGGTATTTTTTTTTCTATTCTTTCACATAAGGTCCCCCTGCTCCTGTCACGCCGATCTCTACCTGTCCTGTACTTTTGTGTAAATGCTTCCCGTACGGTTTTTTACCGGATTTTGGGAAGATGGGAAGCGATCACAGCAAAACGTGAAAACGTTTTTTTCGGGGATTTTTTGTGTGAGGTTTTTTTTCTTAGACAGATCACCTCGAGGGGCTGCTTGAATATAATCGCATGCATTTATAAATTTCCCATATATTTTTGAGTACGATAATTTATCTTCTAATTCCGTTGTATTATTCTTCTTCATGCTGTTTCTTTCCTTTTTTATTCAGTTTTTCGATTTTTTTAAGTTAAAAATTTTGAATTGTCATTGCGCAAGCGTTGCATTATAATCCATCTAGCTAAAAACGGATTTCGGTTGTAGCCAATTGAGGTAATTACATTTTGGAAACCGTTACACGTCAGAACTTGGTAAGAGAGAAAATCCAATGAAAAAAACGTTTGTTAAATCAGTTCCGAGCGATTATTGGAGGGTCGCATTACAATTTAACAAAAAAAAAATTATGCGCCCGTGAGGTGGGAAGAGAGAAGACGAAAACGAGAAAAAGCGTCAAAGGGGTGTACGGGGAGGCCGTCATAAGATACGATGATGAATGTACGAAGGGTTGTTTGGAGTTAGAAGGGGAGAGGTGGAGCAATTCGCTTGAGTAAAAGGGTATTACATTCGGCCAATCAGCGTGAAGGCTCTTTGATGATGCTCCAATGATGCTCGTATACAGCTGAGTTGTGGTGGGGGGAGCTCAGACACCCTTGGGCCCACTAGTCGCTGCTGGCTCGGGAGTTTTTGTTGCGTCACTGGGGTTCATTCAGTGGGAATACTCCGCCGGAGAGTGAGGCCGCAAGTGTTTCTGGAAATATTCATCTCATTTGATTAAAAAACTAATTCCACATTTTTAATAAAGTTCACTCGTGTGTTATTAATAAATTAATATTTATTCATTTATTCAGAATATTGAAAGCCACTGAATAATTTTTTTTTCAATGATAAATTGAAAAGAAAAATGTAGGATTAATTTTTTTTAATGAAAAAGTGTTGATTAAACAAAATATCGTGGTGGAAAATTAACCTAAAATCGTCGTGCTGGCTCTCGAGAGGCACATACATGTGACGAAGGCGAAAAGTGACGGGTCGGTGTGCAGTGACATAAACATGGTCTTTATAGAAGACCCGAGGATGATTTTCGCGGACATGCGCCTACATGCGACCAGCACACCCACGAGCACTCCGACACGTTATCACCCAAATAAATATCGGGCGCAGAATAATAACAATTGTACGATCTAAATAAATCCCTTTGACCGGACTAATCAACATTTCATACCAAGAAACAAAGAAATAAGTTTTGTCATTATGTTGTGCTCCAGATGCTGATTTACATGGAGATGTGGATGGTGCTGAGCTCAGTGGAGACGACCGGAGTATCGCTAGCGATGTTCAGGATGGTAATGAAGCCATTTTGGACCACGACTCCATGGATTCGGAGCGAGGGGCCCTCAACCTGGTGAGTTTGGTTGAGAAATAATTCTGTAGCGAAGTGGTATCCATTATTTCGAAGATATCTCCGAGGCTAATGGGTTTACAAAGAAATTCCAGACGCCTTCTGCCATTTTTTGATAAATCCACTAATTCTAGAGATACCCCTGAAGCACCTGTAAAATTAGTTTCATCAATTTTTTCTCAGTTTGCACCACTTCACTACCGAATTCCAAACATTTAACTTCACTACCAAATTCATTCTCCAGGTTACCGATGTTTCACAGCGGAATAGCAGCAGTGGAACAAGTGGTAGTGCCTCATCCCCGAGCTCCGGAGTCAGCAGTCAGTTGACCGGAAGTCACGCCGGCAACACAAGTAACTCTCAGGCAGCATTAGCTGCCCAACTAGTCGGTCAACAGCTCCTCATGCACGGTTCCCTAGGTGCCCTGAGCTCCCAGGAGATCCAAGCCCTGGCATCGACCCTCCAACAGCAACAGCAATCCCTTCAACAACACCTCCAGCAAATAGCAATGTTCCAACAGGCAAATCCAGCAGCCGGTCAACTTCCTGCGCAGGCGCAGTTCTTCCTCCAAAATCAGGTACGTCCGATCTCCTTGAAATTGAGTAGTTCTCTTGAAACATTCTTCCTCTCCGGATACTCAGAAAGATTAAGTCACAAGCGAAGGGAGAACCCGAGTGTCGTGCGTCAAAGAGCCTTATCTGATCCACAGATCCTAGATTACCTCAAAAAAGAATTCTCCAACGACTCACTCTGATTGCCATTGAAATCTTTTAACTCAACATCAACATCTCCCCATCGTTATACCAAAAATAACAATTATATTGAGGCTGGATAAAGAAACCCCTATTAATCTAAGACTTTATTGAGAATATGTCCCTCCATCATATTGAAAAGCCACAGTGTACATTGCATTTTAAAGCGGAACCACCTTGCCACAAAATTCTCTTTGTTACCTCACACGTGGCAACGATAAAAAGATGTGTATATTTTTCGTCATAAACCCTTCACCCATTATACTCAATCTCGATTGCATAAAGCGACACACGACCTTCTCAAGCCTTAAAAAACCCAAAGCATAGGGTTTTGTACAACCTGCACAGCCCTAAGCACGCGAATGAGAAAAAAAAGAAAGGGATATGTGAGTAATCCTTGCGATGGGGCGTCTTCCGGAATAGATACTTAATTCCTCCATTTGATTCACCCCTTTTACCTCTAGTGGAATTTTTACCTGTCCACGTGACCCTCTTCGACACGCGCAAACGATTTCATCTATTTTATCCGCACGTCATCGTGTTAATGTTATCGTATATTAAGGAATACTCTTGCAGGGGCTGTTGCAGAGCGGTGGCTACGCCCAGAGACCGAGTCATCCGCGCTCACAGTCCATGCAGGTATAATTAGTCCTGCTCGGAATTAATTAATTGTTGTGTTTGATTTGTTCTGGAGTAGTTGATGGATATTTGGGCATTGCAGTTGAATTTAGTAATACCCGGACAAAATTGTCTATTGTCTAGTAAAATCCCTGAATTTGAGAAGTCTGTCGTTTTGAACGTTTGTGAACAGAAAATCGTGGAAATAATTGAAATTTTCACTTGTTGAAAAATCTGGGGAAAAAGTTCTCATTTTTCGTCATTTTTATTTAGACTTAGTTTAACTGTACTTAAATCGTACATTTCGACACTAGGCCGTGAGGAACTTTTCTGGCGAATATGAGGTTACAGGACGGGCCGAAGGCGAGTTCTGTCATCATATGAAGTAGAAAAGTTCCCACTCCCGTGTGTCGAACAATATTTTTTGTCATTACGCCCAAAAACCGCGGTTTATCGGGCCTAGTGACGAAAAATAACTATCGAGCGACTTTCGATATATCATGGGATACCTAAAAAACTAAGAAAAATTTTGTATCCAAGCCATTTTACCATTGTATTTTTGGCTTTGAGATGCTCCTCGCCCCATAATTTTCGACCGATTAAAAATTTCGGTGTGGCTATTTGTACCAGATACGGACGTATCCATGNCCCCCCCCCTCCGCACTCTCTCGAACATATTTTTCCGAATAACTACTATAGTCACGAGTGGGCACACAGATACGTCCGTGTCTGGTGTAAATAGCCACTCGATAAAAAATTTTTTCTTCAAAATATTCGTTAGATTCCATAGAATAAAACAAGATATTTTTTTCGATTGTTGCAATTAGACCATAGAAAAAAATTTTGTTGGTCAAGTCAACTAAAACTTTTGTCAAATTCAAAAGCGTACATATATAATTTTACTCCGGAAAACACCTTTTACATTCTATTTTGATGTTTAACTACTCCAAATTATGATTTCTATATGGTATGAAAAAAAGAAAACAATGGGTAAACCGAAAAAAACGGGGAAAAATGGATTGGGTACGAAATTTTTCTTATAATTTTAGGTACCTCGTGATACATCAAACGTCCCTCGGTCACCTCGGTTCCCCCTTAAACTGAAGCATATTTTCTTGCATTTAAAGCAGGAATCGGCATCGATCATTAATTTCAGTACTATTTGGGTTGAAATTTGAAATTTATAAAATAATTGATAATTTAAATTTAGACTTGACTATGGGATAGGGATTTTCGATTAGTCAAATAATCGTGAATCCTCTGAACTCAATTATTGATTGATAAAATAATTTGGAATTTGGATATTTAATTGGTCATGAATTGAATAATTTACAATTGATGAGTATTATTAGCTGTTGACTTCTTCAAAATTTAACATTATTTAAAATTTATGATACTGCCTATGTCTCATTTAAAAGGAATGCTGGTTTTGGAATTGAGAATTTTTGAAATTTTTTAATAGAGAACATTCGGATTATCAAATTATGACAATTCTGATTCTTCAATTAACTAATTTAATTTAACGGGCAGCTGGGCTTAATTAATGTTCAATTTTTTCAGATCTCCTTCGAATGATGTGATTTTAAGAACCTAACGTTCTCTTATTCGAGAAATCTTCTCACTTGAAATAACCAGGTTTTCGGCACTGAATTTCAGGGATTTTCTTCGGAAAAATTAAGTAACCAGTTTTTCATTCTCAGTGCAATGCCTTCTACAACCATGAGTTCAAGAATGAATAGGTTGTTTTCTAAAATCAGACCCTTTATTTCTCGGCGAGCAATCATTTATAGAAGAAACTCTAGTAGCAATGATTACTTTAGGTTTAATTACTAGAATTGAATACTAGAATTACAATCCATGGCAAGCGATGGGTGAAAAAAAATTTCAAAATTATTTTGTCGAGTATCTAACTTGTCTTCATTTCATGATCATTTTTCTAGTCATTCATGACATGCAATGTTGACCACATCGAAAAATCAACTGAATGATCAAATAATCGCCTATACTGCCCGAACATTCTTACGGCTGAATATTCCTTCGAACTGATTGGCTGATTCATGTTATTCATAAATGTAATTTTTTGATGTCTTAGGTTCAGCAGGCTGTGGCACAGGCAGCTCAGCAGCTCCAGGCTCTCCAGAAGCAGCAGGCATTGCAGGGTGGCGGTGGTCTGGTGGGAAGAAACGTGGCCCAACAGAGATCACCACCCCCTCCTGGCACTCCACCGGCGGTAAAACCACTGACAGCAAGACTGGAGCCATCACCGGAGGAGACAACGGATCTTGAGGAGCTGGAGCAGTTTGCCAAGACGTTCAAGCAGAGACGCATCAAGCTCGGGTTCACGCAGGGTGATGTGGGTTTAGCTATGGGAAAATTATATGGCAATGACTTCTCGCAAACAACAATTTCGAGGTAAGAATTTATCAATTGCGGACAATTTATTTGAGAGAAAATTCACGAAACGTACGAACGAGTTCAATGTGGCGGAAAGAAGTTGACGATGAGTCTGTGAAAGGAGTTTAGAATGGTGATCAATTGTTGCAGGTTCGAAGCACTCAATCTGTCGTTCAAAAATATGTGTAAATTGAAGCCCCTTCTGCAAAAATGGCTGGAGGACGCTGACAATTCTCTGAACAATCCCAACTCACTCACGAATCCATTGACAACACCGGAAGCCATTGGAAGACGACGAAAAAAGCGCACATCAATAGAAACCAGTGTTCGTGTTGCACTTGAAAAAGCATTCATGCAGAATCCAAAGCCAACGTCTGAGGAAATTACGATACTTGCTGATAGTCTGGCGATGGAGAAGGAGGTCGTGAGAGTGTGGTTTTGCAATAGGTAAATATAGTACCATTATTTTCATTCAAGTTTACGATTCAGTAGAAAAATTATAGAATTAATCAACTCAAATATCATTTCATCGTTCATTTTACGTATTCTTGTTGAGAACTGAATTGAGCAAAAAAATTCAAAACATTATTTAAAAAGAAATCATCAGGGTGATAATTATTAATCTAATTGCTACTAATTACAATCGCAATTGCGTAGAACAATATTCGTACTGTCTTCACATGATTGTGCGACACCCTCAGAAGAATTATTCATTTGAATTAAATAAACTTAATTTTAATAAAATATTGGGCTTCTCCGAATAGCTTATAACAAAGTCTTCATTTAAACTCATTGGATTTTTATTTGAGTTTTCATATACATCAAATAGATGGTTACGAATATAATGCAATGAATAAATATTTTTTTTTATCTGAATAAAACCGTTATTTGTTGGAAATAAAATTATTGTTTGGACGGCTAAGAGAACGAATTTGTTATCATTTAATTAAGAGTTTTATTTGATTCAAAGGGGCCATTCCCTTGAGCAGATTGCATTAAAATTTCGTTGATTTCACTGAAAAAATAAGAATTTACTTGAAATATTCGAGTTCAGATATGCACTTGTCTATAAAAGTGGGAATCCTTATTCATTGAGAATATTATGTCATGAAATCGCAAAAAACCTCTCATTTCCTGAACAATTTAACGGGAATATTGAATATGGTACTGAAAAATATTGCGTCATTTATAAGTCATTTCTCGTGAAAATCATCAAATTCGTAGTCTTCACCTGAATTTAAAGGATCTTTCGTTAGAAAATTCCGTTACATATCTTTAACAGTGAAAAACTCCCTCCCCTCTCTAACGCGAAAATTCTAAATACCCATTTTTTATTCAACAGGCGACAAAAAGAGAAACGAATCAACCCACCAACAGCAGCGATGGGCAGTCCGACAATGGCCTCCCCAGCGCCCTCAGTATTTGCATCCCTAGCGAGTTCGATGTCGGGGAGTCCCCTAGCTCTAACAACTCACTCATCAGGAATGGGCCACTCCCACTCCCACTCCCACCCAACCCCCCTCGGTTCACCGATTCCCCTGGCTCTTGTAGCCTCAGCCGGCAGTAACTATCACGCCTTAAGCAGCAAATCTCACGAGTGACATCAACCGGTCACCCAGCATGACAATGCTGCACTCTATCATCATCACCGCTCGCAGTCCCAACTGCCGCATCAATTTCATAATCAGCATCAACGACGCTTGTGCAATCTCCCCGAATTTTATCACTAGTCGGGATTCCAACACTCCACTTAATATTGTGATTACTCAGTATCAATTATGACTATTCAATTATCGTTTATTGATACTGCAAAATGAGCCTGAAACACTGGTGATTAATAAAAACTGGAAGAGAAATGAGGGAAAACGTATACGTATGAGTTTTGAAATCTTCCAAAAAGACTCAACGATTCAATTTTCAATTGATCATCTAATTTTTTATGTACACTTTATGAAAAAAAAAAACTCGTGGTGATTGGTGTGCATGTACTGGAGAGCATGGGAATTCATCTCTTTTCTTTTTCGCAACGAAAAAAAAATAACGATCAATGTACATAACTAGACAAAGAGTTATAGTTAATTATTATTACTGTTGTTTGGATTGAATGAAAAAAAAATCCAAAGATCCTCATAATATTGAGGGAGAAATTTGGTTCAAGGAACAAACTATTATTTAGGGAGGGCCCCTATTGATACTTCTGTATCGAAGAATGAGGAAGTGATGAGTGTGAGTAATGTGCGTACGTTGCTCGATTAATCTCGTGGATTAGAGAACAAATTCATATGTAATATTTCTATTTATGATTATTTATTCTTACAGCCTATTAATTACTAATTATTTCCGGGAAGATGCACTCAGTGATCTTTATATTACTGATTGTATTTTCTTGAGAACATCAATTGAGTACCATCGATTTAATCACGAGAGTGATCGGACACGTATGACAGTACGAAGTATTATAGGATAACCCATTTTTGTAATTCTGGTGTTGATAGGGTGCTTTAGTAAAAGGAGGATCAATTGTCCTCGGAACACGTCGTGACTGACGTTATTGTATTTATAAATAAATGTATATAATTATAGGAATTATATCATAAAGTATTAAGCATGTATCGACTGTTCAGCTCTATATAAATATAGATATGCATATTTACGATATAACTATATAAATAAATGTATTGTAAATAATCTGATAATTTTGAATTGATTATGAGATATCGAACAAATCCAGTCGGGGTGTATTCATCGATGATAATTAATGTTGTTTTTTCATTAACAATTATTGATAATTCAGTTTGAATATTGTTTTTTGTATATTGTAATGGGGCTTTCTACGAGTGTTGCATTTGTTCTTTTTTCACTCGAGTCATTAGTAACAATTTGCGTTTCAATTCTCCCGTCATTTTGTTGACATGTCTATTTTATATGGAATTCCAGATTCGTGGACCAAGTGTAGTAAAATGTTTTTCGAGAATTGACTATCGTGTTTTGAGGGGAAATAGTAATTTTTTTTGTGGAAATTTGAAAAATCATTTCTTTCATAGTCCGAGAATTTAAGATTTGTTTGAAACACAATGACGGCATATGAAATTACATTCCAGTAGGTTTAATGCATAATATCCCCCACCACTCTCCCACTTTTGCGTATTTGTCGTGGCATAATTCAGAAACTTGTTGATGCACTATGAAATCAATTGATAATTTTACGTTTACAATAGATTATATTATTTTTTCATTATATTTCAACTTGCATTATGTTAAAATAAAATGCATACAAACATTCGAATTATTATTTGATTTATTTTCTCATTCATTAACATTTTCCTTGCGATTTAAGGGGCACAGGGGGCTGAGAGAAATTTCAGTTATTTTTTTATAGCTTTATGAGAACATTTTCATTCTTGTTTCGACTGCAAATGAAAATTTTGACAGAATATCTAACAAATAATGGGAAAATCTAGTGTTCATAATTTTATAAATCAAATTAATTATTCCTTGAGTAAAACACGATGATCATAATTCTTGGTGTTCTGTCAATTTTTTTAACATCAATTGAGATTGAAATTTAAGAAAAAAGTGCTCGCCAAATATTATTTATTTGATAGAAAAAATGTGCCGTTGCCACCGTCCTATCTCCTCTTGTAAATAAATAAACTAGTAATCCTAGGTATCGAGTAATCGAGAAGAATTATTACTCTAAGACATGTACCAAATTCTAGTTGTCCAGATAAATAAAAATGATTCATCTTTCGCTATATGATAGTCTGTAATCAACGAACATGATGGTCGTATCGTTTTGAATGACTAGAGAGTTTCTGAAGACGATAATGAGATGTTCCGTATTCAAGGCAATTTTCATGGATGACTACTAATGATAAGTGAAAAATATTAACACTCGCAGACGAATTTGAATTGTTAAAAAACTAAAAAAACCATTGAAATCTTGGACTGAATATTTACAATAAAATTAAAAAATCAATGTGTTATATATATTCTAGAGTTATGTGTGGATGCTTGATTCATGAGAGAATGACAGTCCACGAGGGTCTAATGAATTAAGACAAAATGCACGGTTTAAAGTTCCTAAAAAGATGTGGAAACAACATTACGAGAAGAAAAATCTATAATGTTTTAATATTTTGTACTTAACAAGTGTAATGATGCATCGATGAGTAACATTATTAATCGTAAATATGCGGTATTGCAGGAATAATCGAGGGAAAATTAAACTCGATGCAAAAATTATCGAACAGAAATTTTTTCGGTAAATTTTAATGGAAATTATGGGAGAAATAACACGATTATTATCTAGGAACTAATAAGCGTCGAGGATGTATAAATAAAATCATATCAATCGTACATAGTTAATGTTAAAACTATTAGGTACACTATGATTAAAAATTAGTTATCATATATCATCATATGATTAGTGAAAGAAAATACTGTAATTATATAATAAATTGGGTCATAGATATGAATTCACTCTTGTTTTTTGGTTTATTGATATCTCATCCCCTTAATTTCTTTTATTGGATAAAGTATTTTTTATATATTTCTTCAAAATGGAGTAATTATAATTCCTTTTTGCATGGCCATGTACATTTTGTATTGTATCTAAGAGGAAATCATTTTAACATTTTTTGCAGTTATAGACAACTTGATCATCGAACTTTATCGGTAAGTAACCATTACCCCTTTTTGACAATAACAGATCGTAAAATCCTTAAAATACTACTCCTCAAAGTAGCTCCATTCTTACGGTCGAGTCATTGAGCGTGTTGAGAAAAAAAATTATAAAAATTATTGTTTTTAGGTCAATATTATTGAAATGAATTATCGAGGTCATGAACATATAAGAGCCATCTCGTTCTTCAATTTTTTTTAAACTGAAAGTACATAGCGATTCCCGACAGATATTGTTAATAATAAAAAAAACGATAGATCATGAGTAAAGAAGTGCCAATATTTTCCATTATTTTTTTTACTTTTTCGGAAAAGAAAATATTTTATTTGAACGGGACTATACAACATTTGGAAATTTTCACATAAGATTCTGGATCAGGTAATGGTTTTTAAGCATTTTGATAAAAGGTATAAAATCGAAAATGGCAATTCAATGGTGAAAAAAATCCGATTCCGAATCTCATAGAGTTTTTTAGTAAATATTTATAGTTTTCAATAATCTTTTGATTGAAAAATAACGCCCTAAGAGTAAAGCTAAGAGAAAAGCTCATTAGAAAAATTCTAGTGCTAGCATGGAAAATTTCCACAAGTAGCATGTGAATTTTTCTCATACTGCTATGAAATTTTCACAGAAATCACTCTCGCAGTCATTTCAAATGTAGAAGTCTGAGGTCATGAAAATAGCATATTTTGACTCGAGTGCCTAAAAGTGATTTTTCCGTGAATTCAATTTAGGTTTTATAAACCACCAAGCACTCCACTGTTAGGAATGAGCAAATTGCGGTTTATTTAAGTTAATAAATAAAACAATCATCTGTGCTGCTCACAAAATAATATTTTTGTTTAGCTAGTTTCTTATCGACTTTAAAATGCTAGGCACATCTGCACTTACCGTTTCTTACCTTATGTCGTATAATAATAGTTTCTGGTCTCTTTTAATAATGATTAATAAAATAATGAATAAGGAAAAAGTTTTGGATAGTCAAATGAAAAGAGTAACTTGGAATCGTATTTAATTTAATGATAATCAATTCTGAAATTTAGTCAATTCTGAAATTTAGTAAAAACCATTTCTCAATCCAAAGTGAGTTTGACGATAAGAGAAGAAGGTCTAGATGATACTTTATCTTCTACTTAGACTTAGTCCTCTGTTCAAATGTCTGTTTCACTGATACACATTATTCTAATACGCGTTCAGTTATGTAGATCAATTTTTAAATTATTGATTTGACGGATGCGTTGTTTGCACTGGATATCTAGACGCTTCATAGGAAAACGTAACGAGTAATTTTGCACCTCTTCAGCCGATTTCACGAAAAATTGGGAACTTTGTTTATTGATGGGATTGATCACTACGATGATGTGCGTAATTGGGACCAATAATTATCCCGTTATACTCGAGAGTTCGCGTAAGCGTTGGGCAGATGAGGAATAAACTGATTCTGGATGAAGTACACAAAGACGCTCGGTTTTGACGCTCAGCTTGTACGCTCGGTTTTGATGCTAGGACGAGACTAATGTCTATATTAATTTAGCGTTTGATTAACGCCAGGTGAAAATCTCGAATATGGGTTGTCACATTTCATGTATGAATCCACGTTTGAAGCTCGTAAATCAAAGTGTTTTTTATTCATTTGATTTTTTAGAATGTTCTTTCGAATAAAACTGATTATTTTTAATCAATCCAAATTCTCACACACAACAATACTGAGAAAAAAATACTTTTGCCAAGGAATCCTTTTCTTGCGAAAAGAGATTATTTTTTAGGAGCGTATTTCTCCAGGCCAGTCATTTTCAGGTAGTCCAACTCCATCGCCGAATATTACAATTATGTTGAATTATGGAATGATTATGCTAAATATGACCTTGAATGAACTAGATTGATAGTTATTAACATTCAAAATTATTTTAAATGATTTTACGTGAGAATTTCTCAAATGTGAAAAAATTAAAAAATGATGAAGGGTGTTCTATCAAGGTCATATGTAGCATTATCATCTCATAATTTAACATAATTTTATTATTTGGAGATAGACATGGGCCACCTGCGAATGACTGGCCTCAACAATAAATTCTTCTCCCAAGAAAATGATTCCTTGGCGAAAGTAATTTTGTCTGTCGGCGTTGCCTTCGACGAGTGCTACCTTTCCGAGGGTCAAAAAACACATTTTCGCCACGGCGGGCGGAAAGAACACATTTTCCTCCCGCTTCGCGGGAGGATAATCTGCCCTTCCGCCCGCCGTGGCGAAAAATAACGTTCTCACAACGGGAGGTAAAATAAAGGAGCCTTACCCACGTGCTCAAAAAAACTTGAAACTTGACGAAACTTAACGCATTCGTTTCCATGCAGGAAAGTTTGAGGGATACACTCCGATTAATTTTGAAGCTCGAGGGGTATTCGGCGTTATCGTGGTAAATTCGACAATTTTTTGTTATTTTGCTTGGCAACGGGAAAATTACCGAATGACGATTTCGATTAATTTTGAAGGTCGAGTGGTATTCGACGGATTATTTTTGGTAATCGGATCCTTCCCAAGCCGACTCATTTTAACTTTCTTGATGACTTTCTTTCACTCCACAGGATAATATTTAACAGTTATTTGGTTAGAGAAACAATTGCAGAGCTAGAGGGAAATTATCAAAAACTAGAGGGAAATAACCACTGTAATTTTAATTGGGAAGTACTTCATGTTATTGAATACTGAACTCTGATTGGCCCAGGGAAGGTCAGACCTGATTACCAAAAATAATCAGCTATAATACCCCAAGACCTTCAAAATTATCGGATATTGCTCGAATGTTTTGTTGCATAGCAACGAGAGGGATCAGTGTTGTAGATTAAAATCCCGAGCGCGCAGTGCGAGAGATGTTACTGCAAAACTGATCCCGATCGTTCATATGCAGGAAAACTTGAGGGAAGTATTCGATGAATTTTGAAGATCGAGGGGTATTCGGAGGACAATTTCTTGAATTCTGATTTTAGCCGATCAGGGTGCAGTGACACATGATGGTTATGGGACACATTTCACCAAAATGTGAGGAATATCTGTCAAATTTGTAGAAAACAATTGACAGGCTACAGGGAAATTATGAATGTGAAATGCGTCACGTGACCCTGAATACTGCACTCTGATTGGTCAAAATCAGAATTGAGGAAATTGTCGATATAATTCTGTTCTGATTGGATCACGGGACGTCGAATTCCGCAATTCTATTGTTCGGAAGGTGGTGGGGGAAAGAATCCATGAAATTCGGACTAATCATCATCTGGTAATATATCAACAATCGATAAAGTCAGATCTCACTAAGTAAGACTGCCAGTAGACGAATCATCTATACTAACTGTCGGTTACTTATCACTAGTCGCTCTTCTCGAAAAATCCCTCCTAATGTCAGCCATTAGTTTCCAGAAGTGACGCAAGAGCCACGATAAAATTTGATCAAAACTGTTCATAAACCAGATAAGAGATTATATGGGAGATCTCCAAGGCCTAATATTCATCGTTTTTGCTTCCAAATGGAAGCCTTGTGATCGATGATTTTTGCGAACTTCTAATTTGGCCTGGAAATGATGCAGAATGTTATGAAATGTGAAGATATGATGTTTTTAGAAAATGTGTGTATGTATGTCCGAAAGTGTGTGACGATTTTTTGAATTTTTTAAATAAATTATACTAAAACAAGCAGGCGACTGTCACCATATGACAACAGGCTATCTCTTCATTTAATGCGTTGACTTTTCTTTATATTTCCTTCACTTCTACCGATTTCATTGGTAGTATGCTTCCGAATGGATGCTTGTATTATATTCCATGTACATAGACTCTCATACACATGGCATATTCTCCCAATTATCGTCCAATGTTTCGGCTTCGGTTTTGGGATTGACTTTCAATTTTCACAATTTGTTATGTATGTCATAAGAAACTCAACCCTAAATTTTCACTCCGATATCTCAATTAATAATCGAGACAATTGCATTAATGCATGTTGAAATTTTTCTCTGTTTTTTTTCAATCAATTTTCACGGCAACAGTTTTCATTCCACGAATAAATGTCACAAATAACTTTTCTTCGGAAATTAAAGTTTCAGGAAAAAAATTTCCGTTCCCGTTTTAGTCTTTTTCGGCCACGAAAAATCGATTTTTTGACAAAATTCAGTGGTTTTTTGGTCGTCCACCCTCTCGAAAAGAAATTTTTTTTTCTTCGGAAAGTGTATACTTTTTGGAGTATCTCCATAAATTTTCAAATTGGGACTCTTGATAGAAGCTGAATAAACGTATGAAAACGAAAAAAAATTTTTTGGATAATCGTGCGAATGTTAGATATTTCGCAGTTTTCCGGTTTTCTACCTACTAAATGGAGATTTCTTGTTTTTCGTCGAAGAGTATATATTTTTTCGAGTATCTCCGAAAATTTTCAGCTCGGGGCGCTGAAAATCAGCAGAGTAAACACATAAAAATGGAGAAGAAAATGAATATTTAATTATAATAATATTTAAAATTTCGCGTTTTTTAGCTTTCCACCAAACCGATTGAAATATTATGCTTTTTGTCGAAAAGTATATATTTTTTCAAATATCTTCACAAATTTTCAGTCCGAAACGCTCAAAATCAGCTGAGTAAACTCATGAAAATGAAAAAAAAATGATTTTTCAATCATTAGAATATCTCCTAATGCGCGGTTTTTCGGTTTGACACCCACTTGATATGAATGTTTTGTTTTCCGTCGAAGATTATATCTGTTTCAGACTATCTCCACAAAT